TCAGCCATCAGGTTTTTGACATACTCGATACGCTGATTCAAACCAGAATGAATATTTTTTTTTGTAGACTGATCTTGTTTTACTAGATCTCTTTCAAAATAGAAAATTTTATTTTTAGTTAAATATATAAATAGCTAAAATAAATAAAAATATAACAAAATCCTTATCATTATTAGAAGGATTACCTAGGATCTACCCCAAGTGGAATTACATCCACAGGCTTCCAATTTTGTAAATCTCGCAAATACAAGGGTTCAACCGATAGTTGAGCAGAGAAATATTTAGAAGAAACAAAGCATATTGTCGAACAGTAACATTTCAATTCAGATATATCATAGATCTCTCTTGCATGATACGAGATCCTGTATTGACCTTGAATTGTCTACAATACAAAATAATTTGCTAGTATTTTAAGGTTAATTCGAAAATGAAAATTAAATTCAAAAAAGTATATATACTTGTTTAGGTTTTGAACAAATAGGGTACCCACACAATTTACTTGCGTTCCTTTCTTCAATTATTTCTTCATAATGATGTGGCAGTATGTATTTCGCCTATATGAACTTATATATTAGCATGGGTATGCGAAAAATATGAAAAGAAGAGGGTTGTAGGATGTGTACCGAATCACGTAAAATATCTAGAGGAACTGTTTCATAAAGTTTTTCCTGCCATTCAAGGCTTTGCTGTTTAAATTGTTTACGCGTTTCGAGCGTTTGTTTAATAAGCTGTTGTTTCTTTGTTAACTTAGTTTGGTTTGTCTGAGAAGATCGCGTCTGTGAATCTATGTTATCATTTTTCTTTGATTTACGCTTTTGATTTCTACGAGGTTTTTCCGACGTGGACATGACAAATCAAGGACCTATCAATAGGAATCTACCCAGTACATTTAAATTATTTAAATATTTTGTGAATCATTATTTTATTTAACGCAAAATATCATAATTCCATAATTGGAAATCCTCTTAGCCAATATGATCTTTTTACACACCGAATTGATTACAATCTTCACGATTACCCCCTTATAAATGCATGCTACTCCGTAGAATTTTTTGAATTCTTAAAAATAAGGTCTAATATCTTTACTACACCTTTCCTGAAACGAAAAGTCTTTATCTTATATTAAGGTAGATTCATAATGTCTTCACTT